AGAGAGAAGCCTTAAGGTCTCATTGAGAGCTGTTGAGAGAGGAGGACCCACGGTTAGCAGCCTGGAACTTGGCATGCACGTTGGAACCACAGCGTTTCATGCAAAGGACAAATTGTAGAAGGGTGCTGATCCAGATCCCAGGGAGCTGCAGTATCATTCTCCCACTTTCCACGGTGACAGTTCCTCACATTCCCGCCTTTCCTCACGCTGTCAGCACAGTCTCTCCCTTTGCTCTCTCCAGACATCTTGCTTCTTTATGAAAGAAAAAAAAAAAAAGAATTCCCCTAAGAAAATGAAATCAACCTAAGGAGGGTCCCAGATGCACTCGCAAGCTCTAACTCCCTGCTTGCTGGCCTCCATCCCATGTTCTCACCTTCCCTTCTGTTTGGAAGACAGACCTTTGCCATGCCTAGTGCTCCTGGACTTGTGTCTTTGGATCACTTCTCTCCTCCATGATCCCTTCTCCTGTTGTGGGTTTGCCTGGTCCCCTGACAAAAGCTCGAGGAAGACACACACTGGATGAATGAGGGTAACAGTTCCTGTGCACTGAGATGGCTCCTGGGACCCGGTGCACACTGCACTTACTCTGTCGCCAAGCCACACCCTCATCCCCGGTTACACTTCAACTCGCCTCCAGCTCCTGTCATCCCTCTTCCTTACTGCTTTCCCACAGATATGCCCTCCTTATCAGCAAGCGTGATTATTCACAACGCTACAATAAAACTATATGTCACATGCACGAGACCATTCTTACTTCCTGCTCTAAACCTTCCAGGGACTCGGATCACATCTAGAGTAGTATCTGCACATTTCATCATCATTTACAAGGCCTAGATATCCGACTTTGATTCCCCAAACCCTCGCCTGAAACTTAGCTCCTCCTTGTGAAGACCACTCAACACAACAGTACCTCACACCAGCCGGCTCGCCACTCCCCTCATCCCATGAACTTTCCATTGTCCCACTCCTTTTCCTCAGACTTTCTCTGCTTTCCTTTCTCACCTCATTCTCCTTCAGTCACTTCAGAAGTGACCTTTCCCAAAAGCAAAGCCTAAACCCCTGCGAATTCCCTCGCCACCCTCTCCATCACAGCATTTGGCATTATCAGATTTAACCTTGTTTTCTATACATACTTATCCGCTTGCTGTGATCTTAGGATATGTTGACATATATATCTGCTGCTATTGTTTTCTTCCATAGTTCCTGAGTCACCTTGATTCCCCACCACTCAAGAAACTATAGACTTTTTTTTTCCCAAGATGGGTCATAGAGGGGCTCAGTGGTTAAGAGCTCTTGCTGCTCTTGAAGACGACCTGGGTTCAGTTCCCAGCACCTATATGGAGGCTCACAACCATCTAGACTTCAGTTCCAGGGATCTAATTACTATTTCTGACCCCCACAGGTACACGGCGCACATATACACATGCAAGCAGGGCACCCATACAAATTAAATTAAATTAAAAAGATGGGTTATTGACACATCTACTACCTTCTATCTTGAGGATGATTATAACATAATTTCCTGAGCCTTTGTTAAAACAATTCAGTTATTGGGTTGAAATTAAACCATTTCTGGTTCAGTCATAGGGTTTCACAGAACAGAAGAACAAGAAAGAGAGAGAAAGAGAGAGAGAGAGAGAGAGAGAGAGAGAGAGAGAGAGAGAGAGAGAGAGAG